ATTTCAAGAGCCGTTCGTCGCGTCCCTTTTTTCCTTTTTCTTTTTCTTTTTCTTTTTCTCGCGCGCGCGTGGCAAAACGGAGAGGAATCGCACCACGCTTGCTTTTAGGCGAACTGCCAGAGGTGAGGAGCTGGATCGGAGCCCCAAACCGCGAGTTTGATGCGGGTCGGGGTGTGCCTGAAGAGAACCATTGGCCTACAGAGAAGAGAGTCTAAATCAGGCTCTACGAAAAAGCAGGAACCAGCTCCGACCTACGTATCCAGATTCCTGGTCTTCGCCGCTCGCACAGGCAAGCGTGCGTGAGGCTCCGATGGGTTCCTCGTGGCCTAGGTCTCGCGATGAGCTCGCAAAGTGAGCGGCGTACATGCGCCAGCGTGATGCCCATGTGGCGTGCATCGCTTCATCCGATTGGCGCCCCTTCGCCTGGCACCGCATCATGCTCTGTCACATCGGACGCGGTCAGCGCTGTCCTGTCGCTCACGCACTCACGCTTTTGTTACCCAGCCAAAAGTCCGACCGGGCCGAACGCCAAGCTTCGAGCCAGCTTCCGTGCTCATCTCTTCTCGCCGACTCGGATGCATTCCCACCCGGTTGGCTGAAAGCGCGCATCGCGGGTCCGAACGAAGAAGGTTGCATGCTCACCTCTCACCACGCTCTTCACTCGCTGATAAGCTTCCTATTCAGAATGTGCGAGAAAGCCGTGCAAGGCATTCGGCGCGATGAATTCTGGCGCCGGTACGTCGGCGACAGGCCTTGCAGTGCAGGGAGCCTGTCATCCGGCACTTGCAGCAATGCGTTATCCTTTGCACCGGCCAGCCAATCGGAGCAATGGCATACAACAAACACGGATATACCAAGCCGCACCTGCACGAATCTGCCTGGCCATGCCGATGTCTGCCCGACCATGCTTCTGCATGGCTACATTTGATTCCAGGCCCTGCTCGAGGGAACGATGCGCAGCACGATGGTCCATTCGGCCTCGGACTCGGCCTGACCCTGCCGACTCGCTTCCGCCTCGTGGAGACAGAGTGTCGTGTGTCGAAATTTCGACACACCCCTCGTGGCAATGCGAACGTTGCAAAATTCGCTCGCTTGACACTTCCCTGGCGCAATTACGGCCGTCAAAACCAGACCCTGGAGATCGCCGGACGGGGCCAATCTAGACCCTTCTCCTCCCGCCACGGCACAACTAGCCATTCCACCCACGCACGCCCACCGCACCCCGGTTCTCCGGCATGACGCTCTCGTTTTTCGGGCATATTGTTCGCCCAGCCTTGCATTCTCACCTCATGGCTTCCCAGCACCGATTTGCGGCCGAATCGCGCACGAAGCAGTCCAGACCCAATCTCTGCCCGTCAACGTCGCAAAAGCGTTGTGGCAGCAAGAGGGACCCAGTGAAAGGGACCTGACTTGCAGCCAGGTTCACCAGACCTATCCATAGTGATAGGCGGTGTAAAAACGATCGCTATTGCCGCTTCGTCGTGATCCCGTGTGGGAGATCATCATTAGAAAGTCAGCGCGCCGAAGGGCAACAGGCAGCGAACGAGTCGTGTGCCCGATCGGAGCTTCGGCAGATCGTAGTAACCGTCTTTTAATGAGGTGGGGGCGGTTTATTCCAGGAATGGCCCGGCTCGCTGCAAGCGTGCTGAAGACTTTAGTATGGCTCGGCCTCACGAGCAGCCCGCCAGAGGAAGCCGAAAGGCCGGTCTGAGTCCCGTGGCCTTTGCGCTTGCTGTGGGCATCGGCCAAATAGTTCAAGCGCGATGTTTTCGGATCCGCAGACTCCTCTTGACTTGATGGTCGCCTTACCCCGTCGTTCACGCAGTCAGGGTCTGCGCCGTGCTTACGACCTTCAGCGGCTGATCACGGGTCTAAGTGCAAACCCAAATCCATTCCGACTCAGCTCAAGGCACGCGCATTCGAATTCCGCAGGGCTGGCAAGTGCGTCCAAACACCAGGATGGCTGGACGAAGATACCCCGTGCATTTCGGCCGGTGATGCGGTCTTATGATTTCGCCTGACAAGAGGAAGGTGGCGACCCCAACACCTACTAGCTCGGCTCGCAACACATCTGCACGACAGCAAACACTCTCTGCAGCGTCGACACCGTATCAAAGTTTGCTCGGCACGCATCGAGCGAGCGAGTCGAAAAAGACAAAGAAGTGGGACCACTTTGCGTCGCAGCTGATCGCGCTGTGCCGAGCCGAAGCGAGGCTGCCCGCAGCGTGGGGGAAGGGGGGGCAGAGAAGTGGCATCGGGAAAGCCAACACAGCTGGGCGTGGGGCCGTTGGTGTGCCTCAGCTAGGCGGGGCTCGCTTCGCCCTGTTTTTTTCTCGCCAATTCTACATTTACCGCCAATTTGCGATCCAACAAAATGTGGCTGATCCGTTCGCGAGGAACGAGGCAGCTGGCTGGTGGACTGGATGGCGTCAATCAATCCACGGATCTGATCACCTCGCTTGCGCGTTGCGGGTGGCTGTAGACACTGTCGGAAGCGAGCTCGAGTCGGTCGGATTTGCGACTCGCTTCGTGCTGTGCCGTCTGTTCCGCTTCGAGACCGCGCCGAACGCCATGTCGCCTTGTCGTTGTCTCTTGCTTGCACCCTGGCGCAGACCGTTCAAGACCCCCTCTTCCGACGGGCTTTCAAATCGTGAATGCGCAAATGAGACGGCGTTCGACTGCACCCGAAGTGGTTTGGAAGAGGTAGAGAGACCCCAAGACTCGGTAAGACTACCGAATCCCTTCCGTGTCGCCTCCTCCCCCCGGCGCGTTCGAGCGCCACTCCATAGCGACCTGTTGTGGCGATAGAAGGGACCGGGGGCCACTGTTTGTCTCGGGACCTTCTGACAAGGTGGAGCAAATGTTCTGCGCCTCTAATCGTCCAAGCGGGTCGAATTCTTGGAGGATCTCTTGGTCAGTTTTGCGGCGTCTGCTATCGGGGCCGACGCCTTCGCTTACTCGGATGATGCGCCACTGTCTGCAAGCACTGCGCTGCACGGTTCTGCCCCACAGCGTATCGGGGTCCGCTTTGCTCGCTTCTGCACCTTCTCGACGGTGCTGCTTAAATTCTGTGAGAGTGCAGACGCCACCAAGGACGACACAAAGACACGATCAATCCTGCTCATGCATCTCTGTTGCACACTGTCTCCTGACCGCTGGGCTCGCAAGCTCTGTCGGACGAGTTGTGGTGTCGCTTGGTAAAGGGTGACACCGAAAGCTTTCAAGTCGCTTCCGGCGATCCTCGGTTGTTCCGCGGCTCTTTATGGCTGTCCATGCTCCCGATGAGCGTGCGCCTTCGGATGGATCACTCCGATGCGGCGAGGACGAGACGCAATGCTCATTGACAGGTTCAATTTCGGGAGACGGCGTAGAGAACAAGAGGAGCAAAAGACCGACCTGCGTCAATGCAAAAGATGGAATGCGCGGAGCTGGTGGGAGCCTCGCATCCCAAGAATGTGCCGACCAAGCACAGTCCGGCAAGAGAAATTTCGAATAAATAAATAAAAGTCGAACGAGATGCGGGTGCGATTCGAGTGCCACATGTCGGTCGACCCGGAATCCGTCCGGCTGACTCGGGCTTCCACCGCTTCGCACGTGAAGACTAGCAGCTGGACAAGCGCATGGCTCTGCCACGAGTGGCTATTTTTACATTCGACCGTTCTGAAGTCGCCCCTTGAACATGCCTTTGCAGATTCCTCTTGATGAGCCACTGATGTCGGTTCCGAGCAGGTAGTACACCGTCAAGACTGCTAGTACGCAGTCAAGAATATTTACCTCGTGCAAAAGCGAGCCAGCACGTCAGGTCTGCGTTCTACAGTAGCTTGGGGATGAATATGCGTATCGAGCAGGGTCGGAGAAGCGCGAGGCGTCCGGATCCGAAACTGAAGTGCCCATCCAGGTGCAGGGACCAGATTCGCCTTACCCTGGCTGTAGCTGCAGAGTCGCTTGCGATTTTGTTTTTTTTGCCGAACTCTTCTCTGCAATCACACGGCTTGTCTGCCTTCATCTCGCAACAAGACCGTCCCCGGCTGCCGCGCTTTTCGAGCTGCACAGGCGTGGATCCATGCACATCGCAGCGTGCCATGCGGCCGCTGCTGCTGCTGCTTCTCGGCCTCGCCCACCTGCTACTGGTCGCCCGGAGAATCCTGCTTCCACCATTGTTGCCATGGCTCGTGAGTGTCTCGAGTGGTAAGCGCTAGCTGCATCTGCGTTCCCATCCGCGTTTTCACCCCCCACTCGTAGCAACGCCGACCTCCTTGCCACATGCCAGAGCCACTATGAGTGCGTGCTGCGTCGCGTTCGACTCGCCTTACCTCGGCAGCCTCGGTCGACGCGCCTCCCTAAGGAATTCTGCAGGCCCCTTGCGAATTCGGGCCTGGCAAATGGCTGATCCCCAAGCCAAGCCAATGCGTGAAAGAGCGCGCGCTCCCTTCTGCTTCTAGTGCGAATGCCGGATGGCGAGTTGAGCCGCCCACCCGGCCAAGTCTGTGAGTATGGGATCCGCGGCAATTCGCCCCAACGCCGAAAATCGAATGTCGCACACCTTTCGGCCTTTCCGAGCACGGTCTCTGCGATGTCGCCTACCACTGGAAGCCCGCCCGCAGCTCTGCCCGCAACGTGACCGACGTAGCCTCTGCTCTCCTGCAATGCAGGGCTTATACGCAATCAAAATTCGACATTAAACTCGAGACACGCAGTCTTCGTCGATCAAACCAAAGCGAGCGTGGAAGGTCTCTTGGCTGGGGAGGTCCAGGCAAAGGTGAGGTTCGGCTCGGTCTGAGGCACACAAGATCTTTCAATCAATCAACCATTCCTTGATTTTATTTTATTTTATTTTATTTTATTTT